GCCCTAAATTGGCACGCAGCCTGCCCGCCCGGCTTATTCCGTTAGCCCCAAGAGGCACGCAGCCCGCCCGCCTTATTCCGTTAGCCCCAAGAAGGAACCCCCCCAGCTTAATCCGTTAGCCCCAAGACGCAGCCCACCCAGGTTACTTCACCAACCGTTTTCTATTATAAATGTTGAAATGAGTCTGCACCAATTTTGCTTTGTGTCATGGTATCAATGGCATCAGCAGATGCATGATCTCTGCCTTTATGCGGGTAAGTGGATTTCTTTGGCAAGTTTATTATTTTTAAAGATGAGGTCCCCTCACAGGAATTATTAATGTACTCCTTTAAAAATTACAAATGAATAGATATCCCTCCTTTTTTTTTTTCTTCTTCTTCACAAGCATCCAAATGTTTTCTACCTTTTCAAGCAGATTAATAATTTGCATCCAAATGGTTACAAACAAAAGAAGTTTGAGTGTTAGATTGCTTAATATCACAAAGAGATATTAAAATTTTAAAATTTAAAAAAAAAAAAAAGAGTAGATTTAATGTCAGAAATGGATGACTGAAGAAACACAGAAACGGTTGGGCAGACATGCACAGATAAACAGACACAGATATGATAGGCAGATCTGCACACTCAGAGATGGATGCCTGCAGATGCAAAGAGGTAGAAAAGAATACAGCCTTACAAAAGCAACCCTGCTTTAGCAGATTGACAATCAGTACGTCTTTGTAGTGAATGGTATAAACATTGAATTAGTTGAAGTTAGAAATAAAACTGTAACAGAGATCTATGAAATTTAGTTCACCCAATACAAGGCCAAAAGCCACTCAAGGTAGAGCATTACTGAGTTGACTTGTAGTGGTCAGAGAAGCACCCTCTCGGGAGTTTGTTCCACAAAGCACAACAGTGCTGGGAAAGAAGCAGTCTGAGTGGGACTTACTCCCTACCAAAGGAGCACAAAGGGAATATCAATGATTTGCCACTATGAGGATGGCATGGCAGATCAGAGCTGTGAAGGTCTGAACTGGCAGAACAAAGGAACATAATACTCTGGAATATTTGCCATCATAATTGTGATAGGGTAGAGAGAGGATGGCAATGTTTTTTTTTTTCTGCAGGATAAGGGTTGCAATGGTTTGGTTGATTTTGTTTAGCAGCATATCAACAACTATGGATTATTTGATGCTGAAATCAAAATGTTTTGAACACAATTTTACACCGTCAACAAAATATATTTTGAAAGCAATTGTATGCCTTCAACTACACACTTTTTACATAATTTTATACTTTCAGGTTTTATAGATACATTCAGCAGAGGAGGAGCATAGACAACATTTTGAAATTTTGCCGCAATACACGCTTAACAGTTTTAGGCAGTTTTGGTCAACATTTCTTTTCATGGTTAGCCGTAAGGAATTGTAAATGTAGGACTGCCTTACACTTAAGTAAAATAGTAACAATAATAATATTTATTGAGAATTTCTTACAGGAAATATCAACTTTAATGGAAACATTGTCAACAATTATGTATTTAGTTACATAACAAATAAATAAAAATAATATAAATTTTGATGCTATATTCAAATTGTTAGGTATTTTTCATTTTCTCCTTTGTTACTGGCAGCATTTTAGAATACTTTGGCTCTAATAATAAGTTTCCAAAGTTGGACAAACTGGGGTTATTCTGTTTATGCTTTGTTACCTCTCTTTTCCATCATTTTTAAATAGCTTTTCTTCCAGTCATTTTGATGGGCAATAGCAAAATTCTGAAATTTAGAATGATCTTATTCCATTTCAATAATAAAGCCTGTAAAAAGGAATATTTTAATATATGACCAAAAATAAAATGCTTTTGACAAAAACCTTAATGATTTCACTAAAATTATGTAACAATCTTCCGCAGACAAATCTACGTTTTATGTTAGTTCATTTCATTGCATGGTTATGAACAATAAACCTAAATTAAGCTTTGAAATATTGTGTAAATTTTTGTAAAATACTTGGATATGATATAATGAATAATTTGCAGTGAAGAAAGCCATTTTTGATTTTTTGTTGAATACGCCCCTCTTCTGACGAACGTCATATAGTATGTACATAATCTGTTGTTCTGTAATACATGTTGACATAATCCTATTTCTTTAAGGCACAACATTATGATGACGATTTCAGTATTTTCAAATAGTTTTCTCATGTTGCTTTCATTGTAGTATTTGCGTCTTACAAATACATTTAGTTAAAATGCATTTTACCATGAATGCAGCTCAACATGCTATACATGTTGGTTGATATTCATTCTTCAGCAAGGTATATTGTGTAAGGGCTGCAAGTTGGAAAATAATTTGTCCCCCACAAGACTCTGCAATGGCTTTTGAATGCTGGCAAGGTTGGACAGTGAGGACCAAACAGCACCAGACATAACAGGAATTCTCCATTCTTGGTCCAGTCAGTTGGTTGATTTTGTTTAGCAGCATATCAACACCTCTATGGGTTATTTAATGCCAAAATCTAAATATTCTGAACATATTTTTGTTCATGAGGTAAACAGTATCAAATCAATCCCTGATTTTTCAAAAATTGGTTTGGTTTGTTTAACAGCATTCCAACTCCTTATGCATCTTTGTCAATATTTTCGAGATGAGGTATTATGTACACTATTTACATTATTCGGACTATTGTCCTCATCTTTGTCGCCATATTTATTACAACGTTTCGGCCTTTCAGTATCTGTCTATATTTCTGAGATGAGGTATTATGTACACTATTTACATTATTTGGACTATTGTTTTCATCTTTGTCGCCATATTTATTACGTTTCAGTCATTGTATGCTCCAGCCTTCTTCAGGTGGTTGGAATGTTGAACTGAACCCTTTATTTCGCTCACTGGGGTAGACTGTTGTCTAATGGATGTCATTTATCAGTTATCTCCTGTTAATTCCCCTCTCCAAGTTCTCCACTGCCTTAACCAGGTATCGAACTCACACTCTTTGGGTCCTGTCACTGGATCTAACCAACGCCTTTATCCACTGTGCCATGTGTCCTCAAGGCTCATGGAATGGCCGAAACGTTGTAATAAATATGGCGACAAAGATGAGGACAGTAGTCCGAATAATGTAAATAATATACATAATAACTCATCTAAAAAATATAGATAGATATTGGCTACACATTTTTGAGTAAAATGATAGATCACAAAATTGCATGTTTTTAACCAGAGCTCTGGTAAAAACATACAATGATAACAGCAAAAATTGCAATAGGAAAATAGAAATATAGACAGATATTAAATTGCTTTGTCATAAAATGATCTTATGGGTCATTTAACTTTTTGAGCCTTGCATTCTAAACTTCTTTTAAATTGTAATTAAATAAATAAATAAAGTTTACTAAATTAGAGAAATGAAGTAGCTATTTTGCCGTAAAGCTAAAAAAAACTTTTACTTAAAAAATATTTAAATATAAAATTTTTAAAAATCGTAATATAAATATACTTGATATAGAAAAATAATTTTACTGACAGTAAAGAACTCGGATACATTTTACTTATATTAAATGAAATATAGTCTAAAAAAACTAATAATGAAAATATTTTAAAGTTGTAATTAAAATTGTAGTTAATTAAAATGAATTCTAAACTAAACTTTTTAAATTGTAATTAAATAAATAAATAAAGTTTACTAAAATAGAGAAATGAAGTAGCTATATTTACCGTAAAGATAAAAAAAAAAAAATTTTTACTTAAAAAACATTTAAATATAATAAAAATTTTAAAAATCGTAATATAAATATACTTGATATAGAAAAATAATTTTACTGATGGTAAGTAACATTTTACTTCTATTAATTGAAATATAGGCTATAAAAACTAATAATGAAAATATTTTAAAGTTGTAATTAAAACTGTAGTTAATTAAAATGAATTCTAACCTAAACTTCTTTTAATTTGTAATTAAATAAATAAATAAAGTCTACTAAATCAGAGTAATGAAAAATTTTACTTTAGTAATATTTAAATATAAAATTTTAAAAAATCGTAATATACTTTAAATATACGAAAAAAAAAAAAAAAAAGGCCGTAAGAATTTTAGCCGTTAACAATATAATTTTAAAAAATCTAGACAACAGGCTTTAACGGAAGTTAGATTTCATTGAAAAATGCATCCCTTCCCACGACCCAAATGTAGCAATAAGTGATACATTAAATCAAAGACATATTGAAAACCCAGCCACCCCTGTCTAGAAAAATAGATTTATCTGTAACCTTGGAAATATGAATTTTGTTTTAGCTGTGTATTTAAAACCCAGTAATTTTAAAAAGTTACTCCAAAATTATGGCTTTTTAGCTTCCATTTTTGAAACATGGTTAGAACTGTGTAGCAAAAAAAAACATATTTTAAATCAATTAATTTGTAATATATATATATATATATATATATATATATATATACCTATCCTCACGGGGTCAAATTTGACAGTTGGATTGATGTGCATTCACTGACATGTATATAGGGGTAGAGACAAATATTGTAGAGTCTCCCTCAATATTTCACTTTTGGGCAATCCCAGGTATCATCCTACTCCTTTAGTACCAATGGGGAAGGAGCTCCCTGGTAGTGGTGGGAGTGGCTATATTTCTTTCCACCTCAATTGGGATTCTGGTCTGCTCGGTTTGTGTCAGATCATGTAACTCATCTTCAGAGTATTCTAACTCCACATGAATATCAATTATGGAAGATAAACATATGTGCTGATGATGATGCAAAAAAACAAAAATAAACATTGAAATATGCAAATTCATCAAGTTCGTTTATCAAAAAAAGTTGTTTTTTTTTTTCTAATATTTATAATTCTTATTCTAAAATTATTCAAACATATGATTAATCTTTAATTTCTATAAGCTTTTTACGGATGCATTACATTCTGGCATATCCATAAGTATCTATAGTGAAAACACACACACACATTCAGGCTACAGAATAGTTAAAAAAACTGAGAAATTTTGACTTACCTCTCAAATTTTTAACTTGTCTTAAGCAGACAGTTAAGTAATCTGATGCAATGTGTTCAAAAAGTTTATCTGGAAGAGAAGCAAAAAGAAGTGAGCAGCTACAAATGCATCACTCAACTGAGAGTCTAGTTTTAGAATGGATCACAAAATGGTGAAATGGCTTTAGGAATACCATTCCAGTGTGTGTGTGTGTGTGTGTGTGTGTGTGTGTGTGTATATATATATATATATATATATATATATATATATATATATATATATATATATACATACACACATACACACATACACATACATACATACATACATACAGTACTATGGATAAACTGTCATCTAACACTGACATCTCATTTTAGCAGATATATTTACCAACATTGCACAAAAAGTTTAGGTGGCCAGATATAAGGGGTGATGTGGTTACAGAAATTGTCTGACAGCCATGACTGGGTTCTCCTGCTTGTGTGGCATGGTGCATAGTTCTGATACCAGACATAGAATTTTACAGCAGCCACCCTCTTGACCAAGGGCAGCACTGCCTCCCCAAGGGACTTGATGTAGGCCTCTGTATTGAGTCCGAGACCCTCACCAACAGACGAGTGTTTCGGTTAGCAATTTCTCAGACATTCAGGCCAGTAAATGTTATAATACTGTTTATTATAAACAGAGTATTTACTTAAATATTTGTATCTATAAAAAGAACATATAAACTTAAAAAATGTCTTAAAATAATTGTTAGACTTTGTCCATTTTATAATGTGTGACGTCATTTCTTTACATTTGGATACAGATCTGAATGTACGAGAGAAAATCATGGAGAATTGTAGTTTAAAAACATTAAAATCGACCTTGCTAAATGAAATGCTCCTCTGTGACTAAATTGATAAAAGCATGTCAGGCTATATGATGGTTCTGTATAGGATACAGGTTTGATTCCTGTCAGAGGACACATATTTTCTATGAAAATTTCTCAGACATTCAGGCCGGTAAATGTCGCTAATATTGTTTATTATAAACAGAGCATTTACTTAAATATTTGTATCTATAAAAAGAACGTATAACCATAAAAAATGTCTTAAAAATATTTATATATATATATTAAGAAATGGACAAAGTCCGACAATTTATTTATTAAAGACATTTTTATGTTTAACATTGTTTTTTATAGATACAAAAACAACGTTAAACATAAAAATGTCTTTATATATATATATATATACCAAAGTATATAATTGGTATATACGGAATGAATTCCAATAACCAACAATTACTATTCTTAAAAGAGTGCTCAATACAAAGTAGAGCAGATATAATTATTTTTTTATAAAAAAATTTATAACATAAGTATGTTATAAGATCACTACAAAAATAGCCATTTTGTTTCAACACATTCTGTGTCTTCTCAAGTGATGATGTTGAAAAGAAAATAAATGGTTTTAAAAAGTTTCAGATTAATTAATGATCCTACACTAGGGGGAGCATTGTTACAAAAGCTAGAATAACCAATCAAAAACGAAGTATAGAAAGATTCAAAAGCTTGACAACGAAATCCTGCTATAATAGCTATTCAGATCTTTAAATACGTGTAATATTAAAAATAATTTATACTAACTAATAATTATAAAATTATATGATAAAATTTAATATTAAAATTAAAAACTGGTAATTTTAAAATCCAAATTTAATCACTATTAAGTTTAAAAACTACAAAATTATTGAGAAAAGAAAAATATATATGTTTATTCAATTCATTTCTTCATTAAAATTACGTTCGACAAGGACGCTACAATATATCCGGTCATTTGATAATACATGTATATATATTTTTTTCCTTTTCCCTTTCATTTCCGTTTTTATTTTAAAGTTTGTGGATGTGGTCTTAAACTCACGCGTCAAGACAACAAAATATATATATATATATATATATATAAATAAAATGATAGGGTCAAATAAAAAAATACCTGAGAAGTGGAATTTGAGAGAAAAGAAGAGTCAAGAGCAACAAAGACAAAAAAAAGTGAGGAGAAAAAAAGCTACAAAAAGAAGTACAATGCCTTATCAACAAGAATGTAAGATAATACAGGAGGAAGGTATTTACTCTTCATCCATTGATACAAGCTCAAATTTAAGGTGGGTCCCACGTACACAGCTGCAGGAAGTTTCTGAAATTGCCAAATTCTCTTGACAGTTCCTTTTTGGAATATCTCAGTCATCAGAAATTGAAGGCGCAGCAGGAATGCCATTCCATCCAGAATCAATGCATCTCAGTTTCAATGCAGACACTTTTTTTTGTTCCTGATCAAGCCTTTCTGACTTTTGGGCAACATGGTATTTTAGTTTGGTTTTACATTTTATCCCTACTTCTGATTGTAGAGAAACAATCACCGTGTATTCAAAAGGTTCACTATTTCTTGGAATAAGCCTGGACCAATCCATCCGCGTGATTTAATTTACTCAATGGCAAGAATTCCATTCTAAAGTTGTAATTTAGTAGAATGATTCCCCATCATTGTAACCTATTAACTGCATGAGTCAGTAATCTTTTTTTGGATCCATAAATAGCTAGCAATGGTCTGTGATCTGTTTGTAAGGTAAACCTTCTCCCACGAATGAATCTATGAAATTTTTTTAGGCAAAGATTTGCCATCAGCATGTAGTAAGTAATCAACTGCTAGTGGTGAGCTAGAAGTGAATCAAAATGAAACCCAAGTGGATCCAAATGACTACCACATACAGTATATTCTACTGTATTTATACGGATTGGGACATATCCAATATAGTCCATAGGTATGGTATAACAAAAAATATTAATTTAAACCTATAAATCACTAACAAGGGAGCCTCGGAAGAGTTTGAACTTAAATTAAGATTTACTAAGATTCAGTACAATTCACCACGACCCTAACTCCATAATTCCAAGGAAGTTAACATAACATGACAAATAAGTTTGATAAATCCACAGGATTTATGGTAACTTTAACCAATATTTTTTTTTAGCAACCCATGCATATTTAGTTTGATTTCAATGTAAATTTTGGAAACTTAAAAATCCAGGCCCAAATTAAAATCATAAGCAACCATTTGGGTTATATAGTTGGTGGTTCTTACTTTGAGAAGCTAATTAATCATAACTATTCCCAGACCAAAGTCAATATAAATGAAAAAATCATAGCTTTGAGAGTCACCCTGAGATCTTGTGTGTGCCTCATATAAATCAGTCACCCTACCCTTTGATGTGCATCAGAGAAAAATTAATTAACAGACATCTCTCAGTGCCTCAAGGTTAGAAAAGGATAGCTGTTGTATGATTTTTACATTTCACCTTTAATTAAATTGTCCATAATTTTTCAATGGCCTTGTTTCTTCTGTTGGCACATTTACAGCTTTTTCAGCAAGAGTGCACAATGCTGAAGAAAGAGTATAATTGAAATCTAGCCCAAATTAGCACAGCCACACCCAGCTATTTTCTCACAGGTATACAATGAACAGAAATGCACCAGTGAAAATAACTGCACCAAACACAAGCCACCTTCACCAAAGTATAGCCTCCCATTGGTATGTTATTCGAAAACTAGACAGAAATGTTCTATCTGATGACCAGAACAACTACAGTTACATCTGGTGGGAACAGCCAGAGGTCAGGTTATGATTGTAGGTATAGCTATTTTGACATTGACAGTCTATTAATTTATTCAGGATTTTATGCATCGGAATGGGGTCTTGGAATCTTATCAACTTTGAAGATGAGTTCTACTGCATGCATACCTATTTCGGCATTGGAAGTCTATTGTTTGATAGCTGTCACCAGTTGACCAAATCTTTTGAACGTTTATTTTTTTTTTTTCTTCATTCAATAATAATCTAAAATTATTTGCAAATAGGATAAAAGTTTAAATCTTGTTGAAATATTCTTGATTTCTTCTTACTGGACATTAACCGCAAAAGTTAATTTGTCAACAATAGCATTAAAAAAAATATATTCAAGTTATGGCGATTTACTTGAAACCTCCTCCTCTCACTGAGTCAGGTTGTGACACATGTGTCAGTTTTTAACGTGGAGACCCAAGTGTTTCCACTCAGGCCACTGGTCCAGGCTGGTCTTAGCTGGTCAAGTGCTACCAAGAAAACAATCTTGTATAAATGAAACTCTCATAGCCGAACAGAAAAATACAAGACAATATTTTTTTTTTTTAAAAACCAGGAAGGATTTTTTAACAAAATCTCATTCACTAAGAAATCACCTATCCAAAAATTGTTTTATTGATGTTTTTCATTACAATGTTTCAGGTTAAATTCCCTCTGAACATTAATATCAGAGTATAGAAAGTTATTTTAATTGTTAAAATGTAACCATGGATAACTAGGACTGCTTACAGCCTGAAACAACATATATATATATATATATATATATATATATATAGTTTTAAGGTGTGCTATATTTATGGGATAAAGTGCTCAATATCAGAGATAGAGCGTATGTAAATATAAAAGTGAACATTGAAGTCAACACTTAGAGGCAACAGGCTGTTTCATGCTAGATGCAATTGACAGGCTGCCTTGACGATTGTGCCTAGCATGAAACAGCCTGTCACCTCTGAGTGTTGACTTCAATGTTAACTCATATATATATATATATATATATATATATGAGAAAAAAAGACTGGTAATGCATGAGTTGACTTACCAATGTTCTCTCCTGTTTTACTGGACGTCTCAAATACTTCGGCATTGTTCACTGGAAAGAAAAATAAAGACTTGAAAGTAAAGTTTTTTATATATATATATATATATATATATATATATATATATATATAAAACAGGGTCAAAGAAAAAAACAGACAAACCTGGGAAGTGGAAATTGAGTCAAGAGCAACAAAAAAGCAAGTAAAATAATAGCATAAAAAAGTAATATACAAGCATGTTAACAGGTCCTGATTTTCTTTGATCTTGATTGACATATAGATAAGTTCTGAGGTGATGATAGCTAGTATGGCTGACCAGAATTGACATAAATTTACGAAATCAAAATGAAGGCATTTTTTTCGTTTTAACTACCAATTAATTTTTACAAATTAACATATTTTCAGGAATTATTTAATACTCTAATGACTTTTAGTTACGTTTGAAGAAGCTTTGTGCTTTATGAAAAATTAAAAACATTTGAAGTACTGTAAAACTTTCTTAAATTAATTTTAAAATTTAATAACAGATGAAATTAAAATAAAGATAAACAAAATTAACACAGTGATACGGAATTTTTTTATAATAATTAAAATATTGTTTAATCAATACTAGTTAATAAATTTTAATTAACATTAGCTAAAAAACATTTTTCTATTTTTTCAATCCAAGCATGTAACCTTTTCATAATGACATGTTTAAGGTATCATAGATAAAAAAAAAAAAAAAAAAAAAAAAAAGGGATAATTAAAGTGAAAAAATAAAAGATTATTTTAAAAATAGAATAGTAAAATGATGTTTTTTAATTTTTTCAATTTTGGATACGTAAATTTTGTTTCCACTTAATTACAATATCACATCCAGGAAATAGCCCAATACAGAATTTTAAATGATTTTTAAACTATCATAAATTATTATAAATTATAATTTTAAAAAAATGAAAAAATATTCTTGTAAAAATTCATCATTCATTGAAAGAAAAATTTTTTATTTCTTAGACAATAGTTTCCTTAATATAATTTATTTACAAAAACAATTAAAAGCTTTTCTAATTAAATAATGTCATAGTTTGATTACATTTTTTTTTTGTTTACTATTCAGAGCAGATTTTCAGTTAGAATAGTAAAAGTTTGAAAATAAAAAAAGTAGGTGATTTACATTCTCCAAGGAGTCCTACTTTTAATGAAAAAAAAAAAAAAATTTAAGAAATAGAAAGGTATTTTGCAAAATTTCATGAAACTAAGTGAGTGGAGGGACATATATATATATATATATATATATATATATATATATATATATATATATATATATTTTACCAAAATTCTCTAAAAAAAAAAAAAAAAATTTACAAAATAATTTCATTTATTTGGGAATAAGTCTTGAAAGTTTCATTAAAATCTGACAATTATTTGATTTTTGCAAGAATTTTCAAATTAATGTGTTTTCACCGGGAAAAAGCATCAAAAAAGTATTTTGTAATTATTACCTGGGTCCAATGACGTTAACAAATCAAAATTTTGAACATGCTAAAAAGGATTAAAAAATTAAAAAAAAAAAAAAAAAAAAAAAATACTTTGTCTTTCATCTTAATAATAACAAACATTTTGATGATAAAACTTTGTTTTTATTAAGTTTGTGGCCTTTTTCATTATGCTATGCTGTTTTTCTGCAAAAAAGTTGAGGTACCTAGGTAAAATAGGGAATAAAGTGGGTGGGGATGAATCATTGGACAAAACATTAATTTATGCTTCTGATCCCCATAAAACAGAATAAGAGGGAAGAATGTAAAAGTGACACAAGAATGAACACAAAAGAAATAAGTAAGAAGGAGGAAAGAGGAGGAGGAGGAGGAGGAGGTGGAGAAAAGAGGAGGAGAAGGAGAAGAAAAGAGAAGTTTGGAGTAGGATGAAAGATGAGGGAGAAAGAGAACATTGTGAAAAGAAGAAAAAGGTGGGGGGGAAAGGAGGAGGAAGAAGAGAGAGTAGGAACAGGAAGAGAGAGAGTAGGAGGAGGAAAAGAAAGGAGGGTGAAGAGGGAAGAAGGAGAAGAAGACTTACTGTCACCAAGGGCTTCAGCAGCTCCTCTTTCCACTTGTCTTTTAGAGGGGTACTCAGCAATTACATCAAGCTTACACCCACACAGGTAAAGCTTGCAGTTCTGGGGGGAAAGAAAGTAAAAAGAGAATTAAATTTATAGGTCAACAGGTGCAATAAATTTGCTGGAAAACTCAAGTTAACAATTACAAGATTAAATAAAATGTCTTCAACAAGCAATAATGGCTTATCAAGCAATTTTATATTGATCTTTTTTTGTTTAACAAGGGGAAACCTCATTTTGAAATGTAGGTATCAGCAATCGTCTCTCAGTTACATTATTTTTATATTAGGTTAAAAAATATACCATGTGCTTTTTATTGGTGTCAGGTTGATTTTTTCTTCTCTGTGTGTGTGTGTGTGTGTGTGCATGCACGTGTAGAATGTTGTGGTTAAAGCTCAAATAGGTCTGTTGAATTATCGAGATATATTTATAGTCTATATAAATCTTAACTGATGAGTGGTATGTTTGTGAAACTTTGAAATTGGTTATAGGATAAGTCATTCGAGCCTTTATTAATTTATTGGCTATGGTAATTCTATTTACAAAAAAAAAAAAAAAAAAGAAAAAAAAGGAAAAAAAAAAAAAAAAACTGCACCTTTCTCTTGAAAGACTAAAGTTAAAATCTCACCTCTTCATTGTCCCGGAGTTCCTGAATCCAGAAGTTGGCTCTGTCTAAACTGCTTTTGTCTGTTAAATCATAACATACAATGGCAGCCCCAGCATCTCGGTAGTAGATACGGCTCATTGACTCATAACGTTCACTGCCTGCCGTGTCCTGATCAGGGGGTGAAGAAATATGCAAGTAAATAACACGTTTATTTAAACATCAATGTGAAATATTCAGGGCAGTTGGAAATGAAAAAGAAAAAACAAATGATAAAAACAGAGACAAGAGAGAAAGAGAAGATGAGAAAAGCAGGACATGTGTAAAGAGGTACACTCTGAAAGAAACATCTGTATGAGGAAAGAAACACAGCAAAAAGAAACACATATTCAGGGCAGTTGGAAATGAAAAAGAAACAAAAAGAAAAAACAGACAAAAAACAGGGACAAGAAAGAAAGAAAGAGAAGACAAGAAAAGCGGGAAGTGTGGAGAGGTACACTCAGAAAAAGTGGATTGGACGGTGGAAGACACACCCTGGAGAAGAAAAAGCAGCAGCACAGTGGGGAGGTGGGGTTGGAAAGGAGAGACACCCTGAGGAAGAAAAGGCAAGACAGATTGGGATAGAGACCCGCTGGGGAAGGAAAAGCAGGAAGGTCAGCAGAGAACCACCCCAGGGAAGAAAGAGTGGGTCCGGTAAAGTTTGGGCAAGAGACACCCCCGGGTGGGGGGGTATAACAGGGTGAAGCAGCTACCATAAAATAAACAATGACGGACATAAAGGAACAGAAAGAAAGAAAGAAAAAAGCAGCTTAGAGAGAAAGAGAGAGAGAGAGAGTAGAAAACAAAAACACATTTCAAGCTGTCTTTTAAGCATTTAAAATCCATACAGTACAACCTCGATTTTCTGGACTTCACTTATTCGTACCATGATTATCCATAAATTAAACCATCTAGACATGAAAATGAACAGACATTTGAAATCATCCAGACATTTTTCAAGTATTATTATTGCTAATATACTCCGATTTTATTACAGACATTAAGACAGACATTTTAAAAGAAAAAGTAAAGAAAAGAAAAACAGAAAGTTTTTGAGATACTGTTGTCGGTAAATTGAGAAGAAATAACAAAAAACTGAATAGTTTTCTTTTCCCTCTTCAGAACTCAATTGAAAACTAAAAAAACCTGCACACAGCTGTGACACTGGAATCTCCCAGGTATATATATATATATATATATGTATGTGTGTGTGTGTGTGTGTGTGTGTGCGTGAGAGAGAGAATTTATGGTTACATCTAGCCATTTCAACTGTAAATGATGAAACTTTATCACCGATCTAGTACTAAGCTTAAACACAAGGTCTAAATACCATATAGGAAAGTTCACCAAATAATTACAAAAGGATTTATACAAAAAGGCACAGGGAAATGTTATTAAAAGCTGAAGATGCCAGGTCAAGACCAATAACATTGCAGATTCTTCTTTGAATTTCATCAAGAATCTCTAAATATATAGGAGTACCAGACTAGATGTGTCAACAATATTCAATGCATGGACAAATGGTAGCCTCATAAAGATGTTGGATAGATTCTAGCAAGAAAAATTGTCTAGCACAACAGAGAGAACTAACTTTCCTAGCAGCTAACTTAGCAATTGATTCAATATAAACTTTCTACTTCTAAACATTAGCCCGAGAAGGTAGAATGAGCCACCCACCTGTAGGTTAGCATCAGACAGCCTTTATTGGTTGAATTTAATAAACCTTAATATAAATATATTAGTGAAACTTTTCTTTCTTGTACAGCAACTGAAAATCATCTACAAGAAGTCCAGGTTTACCACTGCACAGTGGAAGGATTTGGTGCAGGGTCAAATACATGATTTTATAACAATAACCAATAGTGACAAATGCCAAGATAGAAATTAACAAGATTTATTACAACTAGAGACAATACATAAAAACCTTTAGATATGAGAATGCATGGAAAGATGTTTGCTATACATTTCTATGTAGAAAGATGTGTGCGTTATTTTATGAGGGCAAAAATTGAAACAAAAACCAACCTTCAGTTTTTCTTCTGAAATAAAATAAGGTTTTCTCTTTCCGTTCTCTCCCTCTCTGTCATGATTCTCTTTGCCCCATTTAATTTCAAACCAGTTTGTTCGCTCAAGTAGTGGTGTCCTTTGATCTATTCTTACTTTAAGGTTGCATTTATTATCCAATCATTTAGTTTTGGCACTGCAGAAATTATACATTTGGTTATGAAGATTTGATGCTGTTTAAGTCATAGGTTTAGCTATGCAGAATTCGTTGTTCAGATCCTTCGTCCAATTAAGTATATCTAATATGCATTTCTTAGGTGACAGTTATGTTTCTCCATTCACCTATGCCCTTAATGTAAGCTGCATAGTGTTAAGTTAAATTGAAGTTCATCTCTTGTCATGCAATCTCTCCTGCTTGACTGTAACAAGTGTTACGAGGCCCCATTTTGTCCTACTTCTTTACACTTATACTATAAAATACAAAATCTAACTTAAAATGATGACTTACATCTGTAGCTACTAGATGCCCTTTTTACCTTATGAGAAGCTCCCATTCACCAAACCCTTTAGATTTCATAATAATAGAATGGAACTTTCTAGAAGTCTCTAGAAACTACTGAGTTCTAGAGGGTACAAAAAACATATATAAACAGTTCGTACCAACTAGCCAGTTTGCCTCCTGAACCCACAGCCACGACTACTGAGGTCGACTCTGGTCCTTTTGATTCATGAACAAAGCTTCGACCTAAAGAATCTAAGTTCTGACAGTCCTCGAAAAGAAAAGGCTATCAGTAAAAACTTCACCTTTTTTCCTTGATATTATTGACCAAACTCCTTTATTTTACATACATATGAATATCTATTTTTCTAAGAAGAAAATAATATTATTCTTTGACTAGCGACGAATTCCCATCCATTGCCTTAATCTCAACTGTATAAGGATTTCCTCTCCCACATATAGCTACACGTTAAGCCAACTACTTTCTGGGCTCTCACACACTTATTAACTGTTAGCATTTCCCAACATATATTGTTTAAACCTCAGCCTGACTGTTTATAAAATATATTTTATTATATGCTAAATAAAACCCACTTTTCGTTATTAGATGCAATCTTTTTTTCTTCTACTTTAATTTCTAAGAATCTGTTTCAACTTATTTTGTGTTGCGCCAGCCATAACACAAGGGAAAGAAGAATTGTCTGCGCAAGACTCATCTCTGTTTAATTCAGTGTTGGAATTTCATGCGAGTTGGGGGTCATCAATTCAGAAAGTCAGTTCATAAAAATTTAACATACACTTAGTTTCCTTTGAGATTCATCACCCAACTGAGTTCTGTCGATCTTTCCCACTTGATTTTTCACAATTCTTCTGTTAAGCTTGGAGAGTATTTATACATTCTTATTGCTCAAAGTAGAGTCCAATAAGGTTATAAAATGCCCGGAGAATTCCACTACATTATCTTTAATCATTTCTAAGATACAATGGTTCAAAGCTTAATGTAACAAACGGACAATTTTGGTGTTACACGATTTGGACAATTTTATTGTTACACTCAAGTGTATGTGTGATATATAAAGGGTGTTCCAATAACTTGGACCGATTTTAAACTTAATTTACATTTAAAATCAGTCCAAGTTATTGGAACTCCCTTTTATAGATATATATATCCCTTTTAGGCATGTCGGATTAAATAAATTACAGATATTATGTCTGCTTATTTTTAACATAATCCATTCATACTTACAAATAACCTTCCTTGTATTGCTATTAAATGATTTGAGAAATGTGCTATAACTGTGAAAATTGCTTTTATTTCCCAAGTACTTTCAATCTTCTTCTGAGATCACCTTCAGTGGTGCAAGTAGTAATGCAAAAGTATGTTTTACTATCCATTACTAAATTTCTTCTTTTTGCTTTTAAATGCAATTATTGACAGTCATGCTTAGCTTTCATTAGAATGTAAAAAGTAAAATGTATATTTGGGCAGTAACCTTTCTTTCAAATGTGTTTCATTGAATATGACAAACAAGGAAAATTTGATGATGATTTTTTTTTTTTTCACTTGATAGGAATAAGGGAGTGTAAAAACTGCCTATGGTGTCTATTGTCCCAAGTGTTGCTTCGGCCATTTCTTTAGCAATTTCCCCAGGGAGTTTTGTTGCTAAGTGTTGTTAACTTGTAATGGCTTCAGAGTCAGGCTTATGGTTTACGGGAACCAATTGTAACGCTATACCCCACCTGGTCGTTCAAGACGTCTAATACTGTGGCTGATCGATGGAGTGATCTCTTCAATTCTTCCCTGCCTTACCCCATGTTGTGATTGGTTGATCATAAGGAGGCCAAGATCAACTCATCATAGGTATCTTCGTATTGGGCTGGTTCACACAGAGCGAAGACGTACAGTAAAACAGGAGAAGATTAACACTTGAAATAATATAAAAAAAATATATTTACTATTTTTATATCAACTAGTGCGTACAGTGATCTGTTAATAGTTGTTAGGGCCTAGGTGTTAGCATGCAGGTGTTTGTCGACCCAACCTATTTCTAAATTGAACGCGACACTTAGTTAAGCTGCTAAGGTTTGCCTTGCTGACTTATCAAAGTTTATTTAGCTGATTTGGTAAGTTTGGCTCAAGGATGATGTTGGGGGTTCACGTCGGCAGATAGTCATATGCGTTGTCTTGCCCTCAGCAAATGGTAGAGAGTCTTGGGGCGATCTGTCTCATCTGTCGAATTCACTTCACACATTTGTATTTATTGATGTCTGCTAAAAAACAATTGGTGTGTGCTTCAGGTGGGGAATTGGAATTTCCTCCACCTGTCATCTTCACTGTTCCTGAGAAATTATTTCCCTATTTGGAAATTTCACACCCCCCTTTCTCGGGTGATGTTTGTAGGCATTATTCTGCCCACAGCTTCTTCCTCCTCCTCCTCTTAGCATCTCCCACTAATACTCCTCAGTGGACTTGGGCAGCTCCTTCACTCTTCCTGGTCTCTCATTTGCACCTGCTACCCTTCAGTGGGTGTGGACAGTTCCTTATCCTTCCTTGATCTCTCTTCTGCACCTGTGACCTCAACCATTGAGCAAAGACTAATTTTAATAAAAAAAAATAAATTATTATTCCAAATGATATCACCTCATAAATGAATTGATAACAGTCGACTTTTTTCTGGTTTGAAAGTTGAATAAACAATTGGCCTTCTCCCCCTTGACCCAGAGACACTTTCCCTGGGAAAATCTTGCAGCTTACATTATGGTGACAATCATTTGACCAAATGTCAAGATATCGCAGTGTGTTTTTAATATTAAAAAAAAAAAAAATTAAGTCAAGTAGTTGTTTTCAATCCTGACACCTCTGTAGAAAGATTTGCCAAGTCAGTTTTTATATTTCCTTCCCATCCGAAATCAGACACTGGACACCTGGCTCTCATGTTCTTAAGTAAACTTTTTACCTCTAGCTGGCATTTAAAATTTTATTCAATACTCATCTTGATTCCATGGACATGCTGCCAGCGTCATCAACCATTTGTCAACACCTCGCCCGTCGTACAATTAAGTATTGTTCTTAGCCAGACATTTGGTTCATTTTAGAATTTTCGATTCTCTGGGAACAAATTGTTTATCAGTCTATCATTCTTGATATCCATTAACCCTTTTCATGGTAGTTTGTTTATCAGTATATCGTTTTTGTTTGATATTTAAAAGCCCTTATTATTAATTACCAGCAACCAAAATAGTGTAACAAATTTATTTTCAGGTTTGTTTAAAACAGATTTTGTGATGTCTGAATAGTAGCAGTGTTTATTCTGAGTCACACGAGCTGAGCATTGCTAGAATTCTATTTTGTAGAAAATAAATCTTTTTGCTACTGAATAAGATGAAATTATATACACACACACATTTATATATATATATATATATATATATAAGACATTTTTTATGTTTATATGTTCTTTTTATAGATACAAATATTTAAGTAAATGCTCTGTTTATAATAAACAGTATTAACAACATTTACCGGCCTGAATGTCTGAGAAATTTTCATAGAAAATATGCGTCCTCCGCATTTTCTATGGAAAAACAGTGAAAAATCAACCGGTTAAGGCACGCCAGGCTATATGATGGTTCCATATAGGATACAGGTTCAATTCCTGTCGGAGGCCTTTTTTTGGCTGGGGGTTTTGACATTAATGGATCGTTTCTTAGACCGATCAAATAGCTTGGACTGGTGGCCTGGACCTGTTAGGACAAGTTATGACCAGCTTTGACTAGGCTCTGACCATGGTTGACCAATATTTTGACCAGTGGGATGAAACACTGGTTCGTTAATTCGACCTTGTGTCATATCTTGATTTAGGATCAAGTAAATACCATACCATTTTCGGAGGAAATTTTTAGGAAAATTTATTTATTTTATAAAAAGAACATATAAACATGTAAAAAATGTCTTAAATAATTGTCGGACTTTGTCCATTTCATAATATATATATATATATATATATATATATATATATATATATATATCTCCTGCATTTACACATTCTTTAATCCTCAATCAAGATCTGGAGAGTGCGAAATAAAAACCAGTCAGCTATTTTTTTTCTGCCCCCTTTACTTTTCAAAATCTCTTGTGGTTATAAAAATTGCTCCCCGCCTTGATCTCTTTAGAAATGTCCCCTCTTAATGTCTATAATAAAATTTTATACCCCTGGGAAGCATCTGACAAGGACTTACCCAAATTCCTAATTGGACTTCTTTGCCAGCTATGTTAAGCTTCTTGGCACCATAAGCTGCTCCAATTGTCTGGAACAAAAAAACAAAAACAAAACACTAGTATTAAGATTAAGAGGCTGTGAATTATTTACAGAATTATGTTTTTTCTGGTCATTTAACATCTGAGAAGCATTACAAGTTACGAAGAATGAAGAATAGAAATCTTACAGGTTTTATAATTTCAAAATTGTTTTTGATCTACTAAACAAAAAAAAAAAAAGGCCATGAAAAAGTAATTTCCCAAACAGTTACATGCAGGAAAAGTTTCTCATAGCATTTGCACCAAATCAGCTGAATTCAACTTTCATAAGTTGAAAGGTTAGTTAATCAGAGGAGATAGGTTCGTCTCTTTTTCCCGGTATAGGATTGGGTTTCCGGTTCCTTCTACAGTCTACTTCAACTCTATCCTAACATCTCTGCTTAAATTAAATAAAATTTCAGTTGCAAGATTTGTGTGCATGTACGAGGTTTGAACAAAAAAGTATTGGACGTGATGCTATAAAAATAAAACAACAACACATATGAATTCAGCAATTAATCTCCTTTGAAGTAGTTCCCTTCTGAAGCCACACACTTTATCCAGCATCATTTGCATTGAGAGAAGCATTCCTGGAATTCCTTTTTTTGGGTGGGGACAGTGAGCAGCTGCCCAGTCACATTCTCTTGGATTTCTTCACCATTTTGAAATCACACTCCTTCCAAGTGGGATTTGAGTTTTGTCAAGGAAAAAGTCACAAGAGCCAAGATCTGAAGAATATGGTGGTTGTCAGACATGGGAAATATTGTCCTTTGTCAAAACTGCTTCACAAGTGATGGTCATAATAAATAAATAAAAAATTATATATAAGGTATAAAATGAATTTTTAAAAATGAAAAAGCTTTCGTTACGCTTTCATTTTACCTTTAATTGAAAGACAAAGGATTTAAAATTTTCTATTTCCAGTTAGCAAAACATTTTGGAGTATTTCAAACAGAAATTATATATAGATTTTTTTTTTCAGTAAAATTCCTAATAATCAGGCATTTTTGACACATTTGTAAACAAAAGTTAATACTCAGTTTTATAAATCTTGCAAAAACAAAATATAAATTTTCTAAACATTATTTGAGGAAAATTAGCAAATTTAAAGTTAAATTAATCCAATTTGAAACATTACTTATAGCATAAAATATATACAAACATTTCTTAACATCAAGGTCTTGTTTTTCTGATATGTTAATTGATTTATTGACATCCGATTTACAGCCAAACGTTTTCCTAAGTAAGTATGGTGGAACAGATGATAAAGTTTATAAGGTGTGGTACAACATATAAACACATGACCTTTTATTGATAGATTTATCAGTTTGCACATCCATACTTAAGAAATTCTGCACATAATCACACGTACAAAAACAAATTATCTTAAAAATATTCAGGGTCATCAGATTTTAATAAGCTTTACAATATATGATTAGTAAATATAGTTTTACTTAATAACAATATTTTCCAAGAATGATCACATTGAAAATGAATTTCAAAAGATTAAGAATCTTTATAAATTATACAATTTAAAATTGTAAAAAAAAAAATCTTGCAAAAATTCATTTTCCGTCAAAAATTTTTTTCTTCTTCTGACAATATCGTTTTTAATATATATTATTCATAAAAGCAATTAAAAGCTTCTCTAATAATGTCTTGGTTCTATTGTGCTTCTTATTTTTTGATTCCGAACAGATTTTCAATAAGATGTGGCCTGATTTTGAAAAAAATTCACAAGTTTCTTAAATCAATATTTCAAATATACTAAAAAGGAATAAAAAAAATCTAATAATCAAAAAATACTTAGACCCTTCCTTTTAATAATAACATGAAGATTTTGATGATAAAACTATGTTTTCGTTACAGTATGCTGATTTTTTAGCAATCTTGTGGAATTTCAATTTTACATATATATAATTAGGTACTAATAATATATATGTAAAATTGAAATTCTTTTGTGCAAATACCATCTAAAAGTGGATCACTATATTTTGCTAAAATCTGTGCAAAAGCCATCTAAAAGTGGATCACAGCAATATTCTTGCACAAAAACCAGTTCCACACATTTTCCAAGAATTTGTTTGCTGATCGATCCAGAAACAAGCAAGTGGGCATCACCATCCACCCACACACATCAATCTTGTGTTTCAGTTAAATATTCTGTCGCTAATTTTCTGGAGCCTATCACATGTCCACCCAAGTAAATAAATTCAGCATGCAAACTCATCTCACTAGTAAGCATCATGACCACAAACCAGTTGCTAAACAAATCCACTTCACTTTATCATATGAAGTTTTTATAGTTATCTTTTAACATAATTCAAACCTTCAGACATCACTTACTCATCTTCAACTTCATTTATTACACGGCAGAGAATTGCTTATCACTTCAAATTCTAAATCACAGAATATTATTTCTCTTCTGAATTTGCTCAAACAGTTCAATATTATTTCTTGACAAAAAAGTTCAAAGGAAGATAACTTTTACCACAACTAAATTTATTCCAAACTACACTGAAAATTTACATTGCACAGAACTGTTTAAATTCCACATAAACAGATTAATACTTTCACTGACTTTGTGAAGATTTCATCATAACTTCAATACACAATCTTTCACTTGAACTCACAAACTACATGCCAAACACTTCAAAAAGAGTTTATACAAAGATTTAACCAAACACTACACAGATTTTATTTACAAATCTGAATTCATTCCAGCATAAATCGTTGTATTTTCTTATGCTATATAAATGCAAATTATTTTGTTGTTATATAATATTGTTTTGTGCTATTTCTCATTTTTGTTAATTGCTCTGTAATTTGTTGAAGAAGTAATTAAATGTATTGAGGATTTACATTACTTTGAACATGCAACCGAATTCACTCTACAAATTGTAGCTAATTCTGACGTACCTCTATAGATGGTAATCCCAATGTTGCATTGAATAATAATCCTCTACATATATAGATTAGGGAAAAGACTATGATAAAATGGGAAAGGTTTTCATGTGATGTCTTTTATTCTTTAGGAATTCTTTAGACAAAGGTGACGTTGATATTGATGCGATCATACATGCACAAAGGGAAGGGGATGCTGAAAATTTTAAATTCAAATTAAAAACTTTTTTTTTAATATTTCTTTTGGTCATATTGTCTAACAGATTTCATTTAGTTTCTTTTTCTTTATGTTTGTATTGGTTTTGTTATTAAATATGCACACTGTGATAATAGAAGATCTGCTAAGAACAGTGAAATGTTATAAGAGCCTAGACAAAAATTTACCATGGATAATCTAGCAATTAAAGCACTTTCTATACATTTTTGTTTCTGTAAATTGCTCTCTCTTAATTAGAGTAGGATTTTGAAAATCAAAAATAAAAATTATAAATATATAAATTGATTCTTGTTACATAAAAGTTTTTATATATAGTTTTCCTAAACATGCATACACACACACATGCAATTTTTATATATATTACATATTCACAGTACTTATTGGAAAGTGCTCAATACCAGCAACAGAGCTAACACATTTAGTGCATTGATGTTAATTTGTGACCTTGGGTTTCACACCCTTTGCGATTGTCAGACAAACTCTCTCTCTCTCTCTCTCTATATATATATATATATATATCAGGGAGAGGTGATACTTGTTCCAATGAGAGAAAAGTGTATATTTTAAAAAGAGAAGCTACAAACATTTTGGTTATAATGTGGATTTTTTAAATATATATTATACATTATTTTCCATATTCTAAAAACAAAATCCACATTATAACCTAAAACATTTTCAGCTTCTCTCTTCTCATATATATATATATATATATATATATATATATATATATAGAGAGAGCAATTCTGACTAGGTACTCCTTTTTTGGGGCCTTATACCAGACTAAGTTTACAAGATATATGTATATAACATAGACACTTAGAGGATACCAACAAAGAAAGAAAAAGAATATACATACATTTTGATAAGGCACTGTATCCCCCAAAAACCTATTGTGTAAATATCGTTCCACTAGACTTGTCTTTCCAACTGACGATTTGCCCAAGAGGACAACTTTAATGTCAACTCCTTTATTTGCCATCGAGAGAAAAAAAAAGCCGTTGTGTTTGTTGTCTTGTCCAGTCCAGCAAGAAACATTTATAAAAGGAAGGGAAAAAAAACAGAAATCCTTAATGCTTCTTGGGGATTAAATAATTAGGATTAAGTCGGATTTAGCTTTTTAGTTTTTCCACGTCTCTCTTCTTCAATTTTCTTCGTCGTCTTCGCTGCCTTGGTGCTCTGGTTGCTGCTCTGTGAGAACCGACTGGACACATGAGGGGGTGGTCGGGGATTTTGAAGAAATAACTCCCTCCTCCACTTTCTTGTCTCCTTCAGTAAGAAAAGGAATTAATTTTCTGCTTTCTCTTGGACTTGCACCACCATCTTCATCCTGTTATTGTCGTTCTCTGAAAAATATAATAGAAGTTTGGACTCAGTTTTGGTAGAAGATCACATAATAAAATAGTTCACTGAAATGAAACTCCAAGTATTAATTCATATATCTTTCTGACCATAGCTCAATTAGATCTCATTTAAATACTCATGGAGACCTACCGGACCCTATTCACAACATCCTTGTTGACAATACAAATATAAGAGCATCATCTACATGTATAAAAAAAAGGATAAAAATAATGGAAGCCTTATTAATAAAAAAAAAAAAAAAAAAACATTCAATAATATCAAAAACGAACATGGATACAATACGTTGACCGTGATTTGAAAATAAAACATTCAATAATACTAAATACATACACACAACAATCTATTTCCAGTTAATAGTTATATATTTCATCCTTGAAAATAGCTAAATGTATATCTGAAAACACTTGGAAAAATATAACATTTGGATAGATTTTGTATAATTTATCTACAGAAAGGAAAAAATTATACAATCATGAGAAATTATCTGTCTATATTTCTAATATGAGGTATTATTTACACTATTTACATTATTTGGACTATTGTCCTCATCTTTGTCACCATATCTATTACAACATTTCAGCTGTTGTACACTCCAACCTTCTTCTGGTGGCTGGAATCAGCACATATGTTAGGCCACAAAAATCTCCTAAGCCGACCATGTATAGAAATGAATACAATATGGGAACCAGTAATAAGGATTGCCAGAGAAAAGTGATAATAACAAAAAATTCTAATATGAGCACTGGTAAAAAAAAAAAAAAAAAAAATGGTTGCTGAAGACATTAGGTTTATAATACCCAGAAATTCATACACACATGGCATAAAGGCATTGGTTAGATCCAGTGACAGGACCCAAAGAGTGTGAGTTCAATACTTGGTTAAGGCAGTGGAGAACTTGGAGAGGTGAATTAACAGGAGATAACTGATAACTGACATCTGTTAAACATAGCACGTGGAACTAGAACAGTCTACCCCAGTGAGCGAAATGAAGGGTTCAGTTCGACATTCCAACCACCTGAAGAAGGCTGAAACATTGTAATAGATATGGCGACAAATATGAGGACAATAGTCCAAATAATGAGAAATTATATAAAAAACTAAATCAAAGCACCTTGTCTGTCATATTTAATGAAGCTTGCATATATATATATATATATATATATGATGGCTGTCCACTATTTTGAACATGACTTGTATAAGAAAGTACCTATAACTCAGAGATAGAGACTTGCACACCATGAATACCATTCTCTAATCATCCATTATCATAATTCAGTAACAAGAATAATAACTGGTGATAGCTTCAGTTATGGGATTTTAATTCAGAATTGTCCTCCTCTTAGAATGGTTGGCATCAAAGAAGAACTCGGCCTGCCCTACTATTTAACCCATAATACACACACACACACACACACAAGACAATTACATTCACACCCAAGAGCCACTCTGTTTATAAAGGTAGGGCTTGTAAACAGGTTCTGCTTTTTAGCAGGAAAACCAAGTCTACACTATTTACATTGTTCGGACTGTTGTCCTCATCTTTGTTGTCACATTCACAACATTTCAGCCATTGTATGCTCCGACCTTCTTCAGGTGACTAAAATTTTGAACTGAACCCTTTATTTCATCCACTGGCGTAGATTGTTCTAATTCCACATGCCATGCCTCTTCTGGATGTCTCCGGTATCTCCCTTTAACTCAACTTGCCAAGTTTTTGTTCACCTCTGCAGTAGGCAAAATAAAGGGTTCGGTTCGAAATTCTAAAGGCCGGAACATACAATGGCCAAAATATCATGAATATGGCAACAAAGAGCAGATTTGTGCAAAACTTTTGCAAGTCAGTTAGTTGAAGGAAAAGATGTACAGACATTCACAAAAATAAACCTGAAAGACAACAAAATGTGTGTCATGACTGCCAACTTTGTGCAAGAAGTTTTATAAGTTTGTACGCTTTAAAGAGCTATATACATTCAGGGCCCAACTCTTAAAATTATGTCTTGCGATGATCATAAGTGACATTGAGGTGGCATATATTAACACATATATTAATCCTTTTATAATTGTGACTGTCTCTCCTTTCATTAGTTTGCACAACCACTATGCCCTGCCAATACCTCATAAATAAAGGACTATTCCATTTTGATCATGAAAAAAAGAAGGAAAGATAGAAGTGGGGAGATAGAATCAGATTAAGCTAATAAGAACAGATACTACACTTTGATCTAAGCCAAAAAGTGATTGTATCTTCTTACTACTCCATGCTAGCTGTTTAATGTGAAGAGCCTGAGTGCATGCACCTGAGCCAGATCCAAAATTTGCCCAGCCCTCACCTCTTTAAAGCAATGAAAGAGGTACTGCCATAGGCATCTGTTTTCCCAGAGACTGGGCATCTGTAGACGTAAGCAGAACTGATAGACAAAATGTAGTTTTACTCACCTGAAAGAGAATATTACACTTTGATCCCAGCCAAAAAGTTGAGTAATGATTATCACTATGATAGAAGTGTCATTTTTCAGACGCACAATATCAAACGACAAAACCAAGACAAACACCAAAGATCCAGTTACCATAAATAAAATAACATTGTCTGTGGAATTACTTTTAAATTATTATGAAGAGAAAAGATGGAGATTTGGCTAGTATATTATTAATCTATATAATAAATGCAAATGTCAGTGTCACACTTTTTCAACTTTACTCCTAGAGACCGTAGCCCAAAATATACCATTTTGGTATCAGGCAAACACCGTGAGCAAATTAAAAACATTTTGGGCCAACATCGAACTCACAATCCTGAAATTTTGGATTCCCAAGTTTTCATTACTGCAACTGTTTTCAGCAATAATTTTTTTTTCTTTACATGATTATTTGCAACAAATCTTTTTGAACAATAACTTTTATAACTTGGAAATAAATTTGGGAATAATCGAAATTAATTGCAAAAGTCACCCATGAAATAAGAATAACCGTTCGTATGGAAAGTAAGGACCTACACACATCAAACTGTCTTTAAATTAAGTGGCAGCAAAAGAATCATCGCTGAACTTTTGAAAGATAAGCTCAAATATTAATGCAATATTTAAATATAGCAATTAATTTTGAGTTCACTATTTACATTATTCGGACTATTGTCTGAATCTTTGATGCCATATTTATTACAACAGCCGAAACATTGTAATAAATGCAGCGACAAAGATGAGGACAATAGTCCAAATAATGTAAATAGTGTACATAATACCTCATCTCAGAAATATAGACAGATAATTTTGAGTTCTTCTGTAGTTTATTGTTGCCTATCACATCTACTCCTCTGTACCTATTGTGATGAAAGCCCAATCAAGAGCCCCCCCCAGAAGCTAGCTTAAACACCTGATAGGCTGGTTTTTAAGCCAGTATACATACATATCTTCACTTTATTAGTCTTCTTTTGATTTTAGTTGCTGTGCAAGAGAGATTTCATGAACATGTGTATTAAGTTTTATTAAATTCAACCAAAAAGGGCTGTCTGTCTGATGCTAACCTCCAGCTGAGGGATGCATTGTGTCCTTTCCGGCTGATGTCTTCCATCAACATGAAGTGAAAAAATTATATTAAATCAATTGCTGCCTGAAAAATTGATTCATCATATCATGCTAGACAATCTTTCTCAACAGAATCTCTTACATATTTATACATTGACCATTTGTCAATTCATTGACCATTGCTGCCATATCTGGTCTGGTGCTCCTGCTATATATTTAGAGATTTTTGATAAAATCCAAAGAAGAATCCGCAATATTACTGGTCCTGACTTGGCATCTCAGCTTCAATCACTTTCCCACTGCCTCAAATAAAAATCAACAATATATTTCTGTAGCAAAATGACCAACAATACATTTTTTTTGTTGATTTTTACTTCAGGATCCTAATAAGTGCTACCATCTTGGGTCAGGGTGGACCAGGGAACAACAGAGAGGGTTCCATGCTCCTCAAAACCTCCAATCTCCCGATCAGAGGCCTTGCTGTAGGATATAGCATACCCTGGATGGTTCATAAAAGTGTGACAGCACGAGAGAAAACAATTTTCATCGTGATGTCTAACAAATCGTTCAACAAATGGAAAATCAAAATGAAACAAACAGGTCTCTTTGTTAACTTTAATAAAATTATCCTCTTTATTTAAAGAGGGTTGCATTAAATTCTCCCCCCACCCCTCTTTTTGCATCCTGAACTCTAGGAAAGATGACATAATTTTTCAAAGCTTTAAAAAAAAGAAAAAAAAATTATTAGTGGATTTTTGGATTATTTGCATCAGGTTTAAGTTGATAACCGACAGGGAATTCCGAACTGAACATTTTATTTAATCTCTCAGGGATCGACTATTCTTTCACTGCCCATGTCTAGGTATAATATTGTCTAGTCCTTATTTTTAATAAGTTATTAAGTTCAGTTATTGTTCGCACCGTTTCCACCAATTCCAAGTATACACTGCCCAGCCCAGGGATTGAACTCACAATTACTATGTCACCAAATTCATAAACCAACACTTTAATCCACTAAGCTATTGTCCTGTAATATATAAAATATATTAAAAGTGTGAAAAAAAAAAAAAAAAAAAAAAAATTATCATGCTGATGAAGTTCAGAGGGCATAACAGTCGAAACGTTGTGATAACAACAAGATGAGGACAGTAGTTTAAATGTAAATTCAGTAAATAATAACTCCTCATCCCAGAAATTTAGGCTAATGGCCACATCATGTTGAAACACTGGTTCCCATATAATCATGAAAGTTAAGCAACATTAAGCCTAGTCAGTACTTAGATAGGCGACTGTTGGGGAATTCCAGGTGCTGTAAGCTTGGATGTGTGGGTGGTGTAATGGATAATGGCTCTGAATTGTTAATTGGAGAGCAGGGTTTCAATTCCTGTTGGGGTCATCATATTCATAGAGGTTGATATACTGTTCAACAAGAATGACTAACCAACAAACCAGGAATTCAGATGGAAATTAGTATTGATTTGTTTTTGTACAACTATCCTGACAATAGTCAGATTTTTTTACCTTCTGTTTTTGCTTACCTACTGTCATACTTTACGATGATCTGGTTTGCTGATGTTACAAAAGCTTCTCCTAGTGTGTCCCACTTTGAGTTTCCATTTTCATCTTGTCCCTCACAGCTGTTTGAGGTTTCCTATAGCCCCCACTGAATTTAAATAAAGTTAATTCAGGTTTGCTATGGTAAAAATTTTCTATCCCAAGTAAAAATCATCACAAAAATGGCAAAAGTCATTTTGTCACAGCTTATTTTCTCTGAGAAAAAAAAAAAAAAAATGGATTTTCATACTTTTATAGGAGTAAAATATTGAAAAATAACTGTTTTATCATCACCTAAACAAATATCAAGGAAACGTTTGATCTGAACCCCATGAAACTAGGTATTTTCTGAAAGCAAAGGATATATTCTTTCATTTAAAAGTAATATGGGCTGGTGTAAATGACTCAAAATTTATTTTCAGGGGGTGAAAAAAATAGTGAAAATTTTGCATTTTTTTCTAGTTCTAAACAAAATTTTCCCCCATTAATAGGAAATTCTTTGAAAATCAGAAAGCCTAAATCATAATCAAACTATTTCAGACATAAAATTGATTTTTGAAGGAAATCAACGTTCCTAGGGGGTAAAATGTGACAAAGTCCATTGGTAATTTTCAATTATATGACTGCCAAGGGTTAAAAAAATTGACACCAGGACACAGAAATCTTTAGTTAAAGGCGAAACATTTATCTCTGCAATTCCTGACTACCAGAAACCAAAAGTTTTTTTTTTTTTCCAAAAAATAATGACGATAAGGAAAATTAATGCCAAATTGACTTTGAAATGTCTGGGTCAAAAGTCAGCCAGCCAACCAGCAATAAATGTTGTTGTCAGCTTGTAATAAAACCCACAACTCCCAGATAAGAGCAAAGAATAAAAAAAAAAAAAAAAGGGGGTCAAAAAAAGTAGGTCTTCATATAAAGGTTTGGATTTTTTTCAAACCTATGTTTGAACAATGGCTTGATGCGTTTTGTTTTGTTTTTAACACCCCATGATCTGGGTGATGACAACAATACTTAGCAGAAAACATTGTTTTTTTTTCGCCACATGTCTTTCGTATTTCCCATCATTGGACCATTTAGCCATTCCTTTTATTCAATGATGTTCATGACAAATTAAGGAGAAAGGAATGAAGTTTGAATGATGTTACTTTGAAGTGAAAATAAATATTTTTTTCATAAAAAAAAAAAAAAAAAAAAGGGATTTTTCTCAGAAAATTGGGCATAATTTCTTAATGCTAACCGCCAAGTGGCATTTTCCACAGCCAAATCGAAGATTAATTACCAGTGAATAATTCCATGTGCAAACAATAGCCGCCTGGATCCTATAACGTCGCCCGAAAAAGTCGAGAAGTTTACCGATTGAACGAAAACTTGTTGCGCATAATTGTGTTTTTCACGGTCAGTTTCCATTATTTCATCTTGATATTATCATTTTCGGACAGCCAAGTCATCAAGGATTCAGGAAAACAATTTGGCATAGGTTTTCTTTAAGAACTTTACATTCTATGAGGAGTTTAAAATGTTACTGACGAATGAGATTTTTTGGCGAATATTTTGTTTACACGCCATGTTGGATTTTCCTATGACAAAAACAAGGGTTTTAAACAGCCATGTCCTCGTATCTGCTTTACACACTGTCCATATATTTCTTCAGATTCAGGTCGGTCAAGAGTCTGTCATATTGAAATTTGAGTGCTGTCTTACGCCTCTTCAATTTCCGTAGTTTTGCTTCAAGTTATCTAACTGGGAGGTGATTACCCCCGCAGTCAGTACTTGGATAGGTTTTGCAGTGAACAACTGCATTACTGAATCTCTTTTTAGTGCATAACATACTTGATGAACTTAAGTAAATAGATGGCAAAACAGGGCTTAGGAGAAATAACAAAAAAGATAAAATTTATTAAGATCTACAAAGGAGAGAAAATTGTGGAGAGCCATGATCGTCTATGTCCTGAGGGAACAAGGCACATAAAGAAGAATGATATATTTATCAACTTTGATTTGTCAAAAAGGGGGGTATAAATAGTATTTATTGTATGTTATAAACGCTGTGTTGGCATTGGAGAGATCAGGGTTGGGCAAAGGGGGAGTAAAGTGATGATGTCACCATCTCTGGACCTCACATGGGTGACTTATTTTTTTTATTTTTTTTTACATAATCATTTCACCCCAAGCAAGTCAATAATGCCACTAAGACGCAATGGTTTACTGGAAGTGAAAGAGAATAAAAAGACCAGGAGGAGGAACCAGAAACCCAATCTCAAACTGGAAACCTCTACTCCTGTTCAAAAGATAAGGAAAGAGTTTAAACCCAGCAATAGGTGAACCTATCTATTTCTTCTAAGGGTCACAATGGGCATTGCAAGGGAGGTAGTCTACCAGACTGATCATTGCAGCAGGCAGTACCTTCCAGTTTTGCAGCCTCATTGCCAAAGCAGTGTTTGCAGCCTGCCATGTTCAATCTGCAATACTCGCCACTCCATTGCTCAGTACCATGTTTGCTTGCTCGGTCACATCCTCCAACCACTCCTAGCAAATCTCCTATCTGTTTGACCCGCCATCTGCAAACTGGCGACAAACCTCACTGCAGACCATGCAGCTGCTGGAAGTATGTCATCTGCCAGGACTTCTAGCAGATTAAACTGGCGCTGAAGGATGTTCCAGCAATCTGCCAAGACTGAGTGCTGGAGGGACAAAATGGTTCTCATATGTTCAACCCCTTCATGGCATGAGATTTACCAGCAGCAGCAGTACATTATAAATAATGACTTCATAATCCGAGTATTTTAGGTTAAATACCAAATTATATTTTTCTTTTTACTTCCTTTTTCCAGTTATCAAACTTTTTGAAAATTGCTTATTTATGTACAACTCCCATGTAATTTTCCTTGCATTCTAGTGCTTTCCAGGAATGAATAAAACTGTCAAAATGACCAAGGGAATTCAAAGCAGCATGAATCCATCTAGTTCTTATCTTAAATAACAACTTAAAAGAGACTGTTTGACCAACACAAGGACTGACCAAAATTCATGTTAAAAAAAATAAAAAACAAATAAAAACTACAGGCAAAAGTTCATTTTCTCCATCAAGTCATTCATTTCTGGAGTTCACTGCTACTAACAAGTAGAATTTTTTTTTTCTCCTGATGATGGCCATAGCGGCCGAAACTAGTCAAGGAATCTAAATAATAAAAATGAAAGAATATTAATATACAACCCAATGTGCCTGAAGACTTGAAGATTTAAAAAAATTTTTTATTGTTGAAAAAAAAAAAAAAAAAATATATATATATATATATAAATAAAAGTGAACATAGAAGGCCTGATAATTGAGTCTAGCATGAAACAGACTGTCACATCTAAGTGTTGACTTCTATGTTCACTTTTATATTTACACACGCCTATCTCTGATATTGAGCACTTTATCCCACAAATATAGCACACCTTAAGACTATATTTCTTATATATATATATATATATATATATATATATATATATATATATATATATATTTATTTATTTATTTGAAAAGTTAATGATCTTGCTGCCAATCTAGTACTGAACTTAAATTCATAAAGTCTAGATACCATAGAGGAAAGTTTATCAGAACAATTAGCATGAAAGTATTTATAGAAAAGTCACAGGGAAGCTATGAAAAGGGACCTAAGCAGAGATGCCAGGTCAGGACCAATAATATTGCTGATTCTTTGGATTTTATCAAGAATCTCTAAATATGTAGCAGGAGCACCAGACCAGATGAGGCAGCAACATTCAAAGCAAGGACAAATGGTAAAATTAAACTTCTGGTGAGAAAAATGTCTTGCCTGTATATCTTTTCAAACTTCCACTGATTGATAGGATTTCCGGCTTCATAATGTCTTTATTATTGCTATTGCATTATAGATGTTCTGAAGGTTGTCATAGCCAGGGGAATGATAGTGGGGATAAGTTCCAAAAGGCAGATCACTGGCACATCAAGTTTAACCTTTCTGGAAGACAGTCTCCAGAAAGACTTGGTTTTAATTCAGAGGTTTTTTTCCTACTTGTAGCCTGGCGGTCCTAACAAGACAACAGAGCACAATCTGCCTTGCTATTTAACCCATAGTTGAAGGATGATAGATTCTTGCATTTTCCTATAGCGAAATAAACAAAATAGAATTGACTAGAATTTGAACTCAGGTTACCAATTCCACGACCCAAACATCCAGTAAACTTTATATTACATAGAATATACAAATGCATTTTATCCTTAGAAGAAACTGCAAATAATGTCTTCTCCTCACATTACATATAAGAAATAGTCAATATGCTGCAGGCAATTTAAAATAACATAATTCACTTTTCAAATATTTAAAAATCTCTCCCAAGTGTACACACAAGCAATCACACACACACACACACACACACAGATATATATATATATCTCAAACAAAACCTACTTGAAAATGGCCAAAGAAGTGGCTGAAAGTGCTTGAGGCAATACAAATTATGGAAAATTTTTGTACTCCTATAAAACAGACCAATGTAAGGATGCTGCAAAAACTAAATAAAAAATTAATTAAATCTTCCTTGTCTGCCATAGTTAATGAAAGATGTGTAAAAGAAAAGTTGCTGCCCAAATTTATATATATATATATATATATATATATATATATATATATATATATATTAGTCTATTACTAAAATTAAGAATAATATTTGAAAATTGTAGTTCAATACGATATATTCATACACAAACAACCCTTTTAGAAAAATCTTTATG